TTTTTTTTTAGAATTTAATTTGAAGTTTTGAAGGAGTTCCCAGCATTTCAGCCGTATCCAGCTGGCTACTGGCACGAACTAACCATGAAATTCCATTTTAAACGCCGAGCCGGTTGGTATATACTTCAAGCCTATCTGCCAACCTATTTGACTATCTGCATTTGTAAGTTCTTTACATTTACTAATTGTTCTTTTATTACCATTATTATTATTTTTGTTGTTATTTTTATTTATTTTTCCTCGACATTACTTTACTTTTCCTCAGTCAATCACAGGATTTCCCTCGTTTACTGCTCAGCACTCAATCTTGAACGCTTCTCTGTTTTCTACGTACTATTTTCGTAGGAAGCGGATTAAAATCTCAACCACTCTGTGGTGCTCACTCTTGGGGGTTCAAGTACAGCATGGCCGTTCGCTGATGACTGCTGCTTCCGCCCCCTTTGAATGACTTGCAAAGGAAACCCCTGTCCAAAGCTGAAAGACAAGGGACTCAGGCCTCATTCCGGCGGCGTTGAATGCGTTAGGCGCTGCTGCTGAGGCGCTGGCCTCAGCACCCACTTGAGCATTCGCCGAGGATGGAATTCGATACGTAGGAAGCAGAGTTCTCGCCTGCTCGCTGTCACCCTAGGGTAGAATCTCACGAAACCATTGATCCTCTAGGGGTCTCACGTTATACAAGAATTACGGGCACCTAAGCAATGCTGTAAGCAGCTCTAGAAGTAAAAATGGAATAAAAATTACAAAATCTAAAAGTTCCCGGTGGATTTTTCTGCCGCTTAACAAAACTATGCAGGGGATTTGTGATAATTATGATCTTATGCCACACGAGGCTTTAGTATAGACAATGTACGGGGTGATTGCTAGCACGAGGTCAGGGTAGTTCTAGAGTGATCAATCCCTAAGTTCCGATACAAAGAACACAAAATCCAAGCAATTATCCCGCGGGTCTCGCAGCCACTCGTCGTGCGGCATTACCCGGTGGACTTATTCGTCCCTATTTCCATATCGCGGCCACAATTTACACTTCACGAAAGGGTACTTACCCGGTTCTGTGTTTGATGAATTCAAAGGAGTGGGATTTCCTTTCAAAAATTAGTATAAAATCTGCTTTTAATGTAACTTCAGAAATCCAGGGCTTGAACTACTTTCATCCCCTGATAAGATGGTTTTAGAGGATTAGGATAAAATCTTTTGGCGTTAAGCAATCCCATCCGAGAGATGCTCCCCCGCATTCGATTTCCATTCAGACTTGAAGGGATTGAGATCCTAGTTGGCTTGGGCCAATATCGAGTCGGGATTCGAACCAGCGACTATGCGCGTATGAAATCGCACGCAACTCACCATGTCCGCTCGAAACTTATTATAACTTCAGTAAATTTTAAACTACCAAATGATTGAATGACAAAGCGAGCTGTACAAGCAGCTAGCTGGAACATGGCAAACCCTATGTTTGAAACTATAGGCTCTTTAATGAATCACAGGCTTAAACTCTGCATAGCTAAGACATACATACTTCCACAGAGACTCCTTGATAAACCAACTAGAACCATTCCTTCGACAAATTACGGGTGGAGCCACTTCCGTATATGCAATAAAACCCTTTCCAATCAATCGCTCTTGCATTTCTAAATTATATTCAAATGCGTTGCAAATCCCTATGGACCTCTGCAGCGCCTTTAGCCATGCGTACCACAGGTTCAAATTTCTTGATGAATAACTACACATTTTAAATATTTTTGTTAAATAACCAGAATGAACGGATTCGGAAAGGCTTCCGACTGATTTCCCTATAATACAGATTTTCTCATCATTTTACCGAAATCGGACATACTTGCGATTCATCCAACCTTAACACTCCTGTCAGACAATCGCTTCACATCGAGCAACAGCAAATAATTCGGTAACGAGCTCTTCCCTGGGGATACGCCACATCGTCAAATTCCAATTTTTTCTCATCAGTTGAGAGTACAGTCCATTTTTTGTACCCAGATTCGAGATAAGGCAATTTTGTTAGTTCTTGAAAGGGATGAAACTTTCTTCATAGGCGACATGAGCTACTATGTCTTCAAAAAGGGAATGGAATTTTATTTGTCATGAAGATCCGGTTATGGACCGTGTGAAAGCCTCGAATTCATCTACATTCATAGGACTCCATAAGGCAATCAGGACGAAAATATTGTTGTACTAGGTTGTCACTACCATACATGGTTTAAAGACCGAGCCACAAATGGAACCTCATTCCGACCAACCTTGTTATCAATTGAAGATTGGCCTTGAACAAGGAATAAGTCCCGGACTATGCGATAGTGGTACCTCTTGACAATACATATTCAGTCAACGACCAGTTTTGTACCAGGTATGACTGACACCAAACTGGCCATATGGGTGTACTGACTGGGAGAACGAGAGCACTGAGTTGCACAATGGTCGCCTCATAATTCCACTGAAATTTTCCATATTCCACTTCTCCCTCAAGGAATCTCAACATTTTCTTCGAATGTACTTTTCAAACTCTCAAACTGGACCACAGTGGTTCAAATTCCCGATTCCCGTTCAAATTTTCATAGTTCCCGTCTTTTTTTTTTCAAAAGAATTCGATTTTGAAGGAAGATTTCGTGGCTTTCGTCTCTTCAGAGGCACCGAATGGCGAAAAGATGGCGAAAACGCTGAAACG